TTGGTTGACATCAGGCAAGATGTTTCCCGAAACTAAGGGTTTTCTACTTGCCATTCAAGATCAGGTAATTCCAACTAAAAATTATCTAAAATATATTGTTAAAGATCCTCAAGTCCAAAATGACAAATGCCGATATGGATGCCAAGCCCAAGAAACCATCCAACATCTTACCGGTGGCTGCCAGGCATTTGTCGGTACCGATTATAAAGAACGCCATGACTCAGTAGGAAAGATTATCCACCAAGAACTAGCTGACAAACTGGGACTTCTCCAAACCGACCATCTTCCTTATTATCAACATGTCCCTGACAGAATGCTTGAAAATGACAACTACAAGCTATACTGGGACCGCACTGTGCTCACAGACCAACCAGTGGCCCATAATAGACCGGATCTCATACTAGTGAATAAAATTACTAGGCAAACAATACTTATTGATGTGGCGATACCTAACACTAACAATTTGCGTGTTAAATACAACGAAAAGATCACCAAGTATAGAGATCTGGAAATACAAATCAAGAGACAATGGAGAATGGAAAGTACCCAGACAGTACCTATTGTTCTATCTACTACTGGTGTTATTCCCAAAAACCTCCTGGCGAACATAAAACAGCTGGGTCTAAATGAACATCTTTATAAGGTCATGCAGAAAGCTGTACTCCTCGCGACGTCCAGATGTGTACGAAAATTTCTGGGAGATACTCCAACATACCAAGTCACCTAGGGCTCGATAACACGGAAAGAGTCCCACCAGAGCTCAATCCTTTTGATACCGTAGGTATCTGGGATGAGTGGATTTTCCCCTTAGAGGGAGTGTGAGCCGTATGGCTAAATCTGGATAATAATAATAGTAATTTATTACGCACTGTGCTCACAGACCAACCAGTGACCCATAATAGACCGGATCTCATACTAGTGAATAAAATTACCAGACAAACAATACTTATTGATGTGGCGATACCTAACACTAACAATTTGCGTGTTAAATATAACGAAAAGATCGCCAAGTATAGAGATCTGGAAATATAAATCAAGAGACAATGGAGAATGGAAAGTACCAAGACTGTATCTATTGTTCTACCTACTACTGGCGTTATTCCCAAAACCCTCCTAGCGAACATAAAACAGCTGGGTCTACATGAACATCTTTATAAGGCCATGCAGAAAGCTGTACTCCTCGCGACGTCCAGATGTGTGCAAAAATTTCTGTGAGATACTCCAACATACCAAGTCACCTAGGGCTCGATAACACGGAAAGAGTCCCACCAGAGCTCAATCCGTTTGATACCGTAGGTATCTGGGATGAGTGAATTTTCCCCTTAGAGGGAGTGTGAGCCGTATGGCTAAATCTGGGATAGTAATTAATAATACACACTAATTTTTTCTAAAAGAACGGATTTTATTAAATAGGTAAAAATATAAACCAAGAGGTATTCACTTACATTTACAGTGAGTTCCGAACAAATGTTCTTCACAAAAACGCTTAAATATTATTTTGACGCGTATATAATAAAATGTGCCTAGTGGCTGTAATGCCAGTGTATTCGGCAAAGTGATTCTAAAAACGAACACACCTACCGCCTAAATATTTCGTGTTGGTATCATGTGACGTCACGAGCTATGACGCCGATTATATATCGGTTATCGGTATGTAAATTAGATGAAGTATAGCATTTTTCATATAAAAAAGATTGCACGTCATTCAAGATTTACGTCGTCAGAAGCCCACAGCGTTGTCAAAACATCAGAATAGTTAGTGAGGAATTTTTAAAATGTCAACTATATGTCAACTATTATATTGTTTGTATTTTTTATTATTTTATATATTTTTTTATATATTTATTATTATACCTATTGTTTGTATGTTGTAATGTATTATGTTTGTAATAAGCTGGACCGAGTGCATGTACCAAAACATCAAAAAAAAATTTTTTTGAAAATTTGACAAAAAATGTTCAAAGGGGTGACCCTTGGATTTTTATCAAATTTCGTTAATCGGCTATATTGGCGTCAATTTTGGTCCGAGAGTCAAACGAGTGAACATTTCTTACATAAAATTGACCGCTCGTTCTTCTGCCGTACTCAGAATTTTCCTACATCTAACGGTTCGTGAGAAAAATTTCCACTTGGATGTTTGTATTTGCTGAAAAACTGTAGAAATTTTTAATTCGATTTTTCCTCTTTATCGGCAAATTGGGGTTAGAGGATCAGAACAAGACACATGTTTGTAATAAGCTGGACCGAGTGCATGTACCAAAACATATATTTTTTTTGTTTTTTGAAAATTTGACAAAAAATGTGTGAAGGGGTGACCCTTGGATTTTTATCAAATTTCGTTAATCGGCTATATTGACGTCAATTTTGGTCCGAGAGTCAAGCGATGTGAACATTTCTTACATAAAATTGACCGCTCGTTCTTCTGCCTTACTCAGAATTTTCCTATATCCAACGGTTCGTGAGAAAAATTTCCACTTGGATGTCTGTATTTGCTGAAAAACTGTAGAAATTTTTAATTCGATTTCTCCTCTTTAACGGCAAATTGGGTTAGAGGATCAGAATAAGACACATGTTTGTAATAAGCTGGACCGAGTGCATGTTCCAAAACATAAAAAAAAACTTTTTTTAACTGAAAATTTGACAAAAATGTTCATAGGGGTGGCCTTTGGATTTTTATCATATTTTGTTAATCGGTTATATTGGCGTCAATTTTCGACCTAAAGTCAAGCAAATGGACATTTCCATAAAATTGACCGCTCGTTCTTCTGCCTTACTCAGAATTTTCCTATATCTAACGGTTCGTGAGAAAAATTTCCACTTGGATGTCTGTATTTGCTGAAAAACTGTAGAAATTTTTAATTCGATTTTTCCCTTTATCCGCAAATTGGAGTTAGAGGATTAGAATAAGACAAATGTTTGTCATAAGCTGGACCGAGTGCATGTTCCAAAACATAAAAAAAAAATTTTAATTGAAAATTTGACAAAAAATGTTTAAAGCGGTGACCCTTGGATTTTTATTAAATTTCGTTAATCGGCTATATTAGCGTCAATTTTCGTCCGACGGTCAAGCGAATGGACATTTCTTACATAAAATTGATTCCCCGTTCCAATACTCTGAATTTTCCTACATCTAACGGTTCGTGAGAAAAATTTGCACTTGTATGTCTGTATTTGCTGAAAAACTGTAGAAATTTTTAATTCGATTTTTCCTCTTTAACGGCTAATTGGGGTTTAGAGGATCAGAATAAGACACATGTTTGTAATAAGCTGGACCGACTGCATGTTCCAAAACATCAAAAAAAATTAAATGTATTTTTTTTTTCAAAAATATATTTTATTCGCTTTATTTTTTTTTGTTGTGTTGTAGAAACATTAAAATTAAATTTTAGAAATAAATGTTTTCAAAACTTTTGAATATTCTGTTTTATGTGTTTTTTCAAAAAAATTGTCTCAAATTTGGTGCCTTTCCTCTATACAGCCAACTATAGGAATTTCATTTTCCTTGTGGATTTATAGTTTTTCCTAAAACTACCCCGAACTTTAATTTTTTTAACTGTTTAGAAATGTTAATAACGATTCTTAGGAAATAAATATTTTATTAACGTTTTAGTTAAAATTATATTTAAAGTTATGCGTGTCTAATATTCAAAACAGGCGGCAACTTAGTATTTGTATTTTTAGGATTCAAACTTAGTCTGAAATTACACACATCCCCATTTACTTTACCCAAAGTTTTTTTAATTCATGATGATATTACATATCTAAAAATATTTAAGTTGACATTGAAGTTTCTTGGACAACGTATTAAATTTTCCGATATTTCTTACAACTTAAATACCATATCGATTAGCTCCAATACGCATACTTATTTCCAAGAGGAATTTCCCTTTTGTATATACGCATCTCCAGAAAAAGGAGACCATCAAATACATGTAACAATGAGTAAAGAAAAGACAAAAGAAGGTTTACTATGCGCAGTGGTTGCTTTGTGTTCTCGAGAAAGAGACAAATAAACATGTGCGTTCCGATAAAGAGAGAGACAGAACTTCAACGCTGCCATTTCTACAAATGTAACAGTAAAACTGACGATTTTTTCTCACTACTCTCATATTATTTTACTTACTACTTATAGGCTTTTCTTAGATTTTATCATATGTATATTTTATTAAACCATCTTTTTTATTTTGATATCCTGCAAGTACGTTATAATCATCTGAGTTACCTACCTCATATTATTGTTAATAATATATTTATCTGAACTTTATGAACTTGTTTTATAGTTTTTATTCAAGTATTTTTTTTAAATAATAATTTCTGACACATTAATTTCGCTTTTACCTCTTTGTTAATGTCTACGTTTCACATTATATAATATATCAAAGTTCTTTCTTTCTTTGTCATTATAGATTTGACCTATTTTGATTAGTTCTTATTAAAAAGTCATTTAAAAACTATTTTTTTTTCAACTTATAGTTTTTCTGTATTTGTTTACTTTTACTTATTTTTATAAAGTTTAATATTTTGAACTTCTAAGGCGTTATATTATTTTTTTTGTTGTTTTCTGCTGAATTTTATTAAAATAAAATAAATTTAATGTGTTAATAAAAATAAATCGAATATATTTATTTACTTGTTTTTAATCTATAGAAAAATACTGAATTTTGTATAGGAATTTAGGTTCTTAGGTGTCCAAAACTAAATATTTTTCAGAATATGAATCGTGGCACCACTGTAGGGCATCGACAGAAGTAGAAAACCAAAATGGCGAAAAACAAGTGATCGTATTTTGTCCACCTTCGGCCAAAAAAGTGTTAAATTTTCATCTGAAAATTGAAGATAATGATGCAAAAGTGCGATTGGACGTAAACATTGAAGAATTTAGTTGTTTTTATTTTGTCTTGTCTTTTTTGTTGTATTCAACTGAGGATTATGTATGTTGTGAGTGGCCCTCTCTAGAAGTGCTGTTCTCAGTTTTTTTCGAATCCTTCTTTCCAGAAAATATGAATACTGGTGTTACGGGCGAAAATATTTACGACTTTAATTCGGAAGAAAATGCTGCAAAATGGAAAGGTCTCTTGACTGCTGCATTAAAAAAAGTAAGCATTGATTTGTTGAATGTCTATTGAGTTAAAGGATTTACTTTATTAACATAAACGGGACAGACTATATAAACAAATTATAGATTTGATAGATATTTATTTGATTATAACTTCAGTTTTACACCAATTATATTTCTGTTGCTGAAAATATTAATTATAATTAGTAAATATTCTGCTAATAAGTAATCATCCTAATGTAAGCAATGACCCATGTAAATTATTTTAAAAGTGGAAATATTTAATAATGCTCGAAAATCAAGATAAATGTTCATCTCAAGCTCAAAATTTTGATTAACTCAAGACAATTTGTTATTTTTATATATATCTCATACATAGATTAGATGAATAAAATTTATTTATATTCTATTACCTTCCTACTTTTTATATTAAATCAGCTGTAAAAGATACATTGCTCACAAACAAGATACAGGATCCTGTATCTTCCCTATTTAGTTATCCAAGGACATACCCAGATCTGTTGACAATAAATATTTTATTCTAAGAGTATTCTTAAAACAATGAAAAGTGTCATTGGATTTTTGCCTTTTTTCATTAGGCTCTGATTGTATACTCTTAGTAATTCAAATTTCATATTCCCAATAATGAAAAGAGTAGCATGATTCAAGTTTACTTCAATAACAAACAAACAATATTGCAGCATGATTTGTTTTCTTTTATAACCTTTTCTGTGAGTATTACCCAATAAAGGAAAATATTTCTTATTTAATTTGACAGAAAACTAAGCAAAAATCTATTAACAAAAAACTTCTTTATCAGACACATCAATTCTAAACTGACATTAAAGTTATCATTCATTACATTATTTCATCTTCATTTAAGCTATCTTACTTTTAACTTACTGATATTTGGATACAGGCAATGCTATGTCTTATAATATATAAAAATGATCTCAAGGTTTATGTTAATTCATTTTACAGCATATATTGGCTAAGCTTCTAGTATCAGGTTTTCACCAATCTTGTTCTCTTAGTGCATCCAGTTATGATTAGTATGTTTTTTGTCAACCCACTGACTTACAACATTAATATGGCTATGAGCACATGTGCTTGGCTGTGCCTTCCAGTCAAAGTCAAAATTTGACCAACATAGCACAAAAATAATTACTATTTAAATGGGAATAATCCACAATTAAAGGTTAAAGTAAATTTATTGACATTTCAATTTCCACTTCTGAAAATGTTCTCAAAATATATACATTAAAATACAAACTAAATTTTGAAAACAAATTCTGAAGTGGAAATTGAAACGTCAATAAACTTACTTTAACCTTTATTTGTGGATTATTCCCATTTTAAATAGTATTTACTAGACAATTGGGACTGAGTTCAGTGAACATAGTCTAAAAGACATTGACAAGGAAGTAATAGTATTAATAAAACTGTCAATGTAATTAATAATTAGTTTTATTATAATTATTCACAGTGCACAACAGTACTGATGGGTGAAATGACTCATTTGAATGTTTTGAATCATTTGAATTAACTCACTGTGATGTTTCAAAACAATGATTCGAAACAATTGATACATTCTACCCGATACTGTAACTTCATATCATAACAATTCATTTTCGGTTGCTGTGCAAAGATATATTTCGTGCAGACTACCGATTCATTTTCTATAAGGCACTGATTCATTTTCTATAAGGCACGTGACAGCAATGTGATTGTTAAAGCATTGTGAGTATTTATGAACTATTAGCACAAATTTATTGTTTTAGGTCTTAGGTGTAGGTTAAATATGTTTAGTCTGGTTTTATTTAATTAGATTTTTTTCTCAGTGGTATAGATCTTCATTGCCATTTTTAAATGAATACTTATCATTACCAGAACGAAAATAGGTACATGCTACCTGGTGTTATTTACATTAAATACTTTGAAATAAAAATGACATTTCATTATTACAGACTGGATTATAGAAATTTTTAACATTTTTAAAGTTAAAAACAATTTAACATTTACATCAACTTATAACAACTGTGGTCGTTTCAAAATTAAAATCAGTCAGCAGTTAGCCACTTGATCTTTAAGTTTTAAAATTTTTCCGACTGCTAACACAATTGATTTACGACAAACAGCTCAACAACACAGATGGCAACACAGTATATACCGAACAACGAGACAGTCGACGTGATTTTTGGAGTCGACACAATGACACGTATTGACTCTATGTTTTGAAACAGTAAACATTTAATGTACTGAAACATTGAAACAGTTTTGTGACTCAACTCATTGCTTCGAAACATTGACTCACTAGCAACACTACACAATGGGCTTTGGAGGCTTATGACAATTTATAATTAATCACAAATAAAGTATTGCATGTGAGAAATCACTGATTGACAAGGGAAATAGATTTTCACAGATGAAATAGAAGAAGCATGACAAGAAAAGTAAAAAATGATAGAATAAGTGGGGTATTTAGCAAAAGGGTAAAGGAAAAAGATATAACATCTTAACTTAAACCATTAAACAGAAACTACTGATATGGATTAAGGTTGAATATATTTAGAACAAACAGTAAAGAAAGTTTTTAAATATGGCAACTATTGAAATAAAAGTGACAAGATAACATCCAGGAAAAAATGAAAACTAACATCATCATCACTGCCTTTGCTTTTATCCCTATTATTTGATGTTGGCTTCCCTAATTCTAGCTTGGGTCATACCACAATATCAATCCCCTTTACTGAAAAGCACCATGGAATGTTTGCCTTGTATGTTCCCTGTTATCTGAACACTCCGTTCAGCTAACGGAGATAAGAATACGGCCGAGGCCAGGAGACCCTGCCTGTCATAAGAGGCGACTCATGGGAAGGAAATGAGAGGTGGAGAGCCGTCGTTCGAAGTGTTGGGTTTGTAGAAACGCACTCGCGATGCATAGTCATCTTGGTCACCAGTCTACACTCCTAGTATCCGAGACGAGCATCTCGTAGTACCACTCTACACTTATTCCACAATAGCCAGGTGAGGTTGAACGAGCTGGGCCCGTAAATACCTCTCACGGCCTTACACCACCGAGAGTACAGGTGAGTGTCCCGGCACGTACCTACCTGGAATGATTCAAGAGTGGTATAAGAGAAGAGTGATCCTCGGCGGCGACCTGTCTATGTGCGAGGTGGAATTCCTCCGCCTGCGTCATCTTTCCGCCCCCGGGCGGGATCTCCGGACAGGTGACGTACTTGCAACACAGGTGCTAAGGGTAAGGTGGAGCCCCAAGATGCTTCAGCATCGTGCCACCTTATATGGTGTCGAACTCATAGGGGCAGTGGAGTCGCTTATGGTCGTATGCCGAAAGGCCAGGAAGACCGGGGTCCTGCCAGATTTTATATTTGGAGGGGCACAATACTCAGGCTATGTTATATGAACACTGATGAGAATAATTAAGGACTAAACGCTTAACCCTTAAGTATGTAATCCTAATTTCAAATGAAATTTATCTGTCTCTTCCACACCTGTCCTGACACTAGTTGTAACTCCATACATGTTTCACACAATCTTCACATATTCACCAAGAACTCCTTTCTTAATGGTATTAAATTTATTAAGAAGGTATTTATAAAATAAAATCAAAGAATAAATGAAGTCTTTAGAAAGAACAATATCGAGAATCTTAATTTTAAACCTCAAATGGAAATTATTAACTTGGATTATGGTTAAAATGAGCACAGAGCTAATAGCAAAAAGTTTTAGATATAGCAATGTTGCAATAAAAAATACAAAATGACATCTAGCAAAGGTTTGGAGAGAAACAAATAGAGGGAAAAAAAGAAAATAAAAGAAGAATATAAAAATAATAAAATAAAAGGACAATTGAGCTCATGTTAAGAAAAACAGCAGAAGATCAAAATTTCAAATATCTGCAAACAGATGATTTTAGTAGGTATATCGGTAGAATAAATCAATAGAAAATCCCAAAAAAGAAGGGATGTCCAAGATAGAACTGTAAATCAACCAGAAAAAGTGGTAAGATAGATAGAAAAACCACAAAAGAAACAAAATCATCAACGAAATATAAAAAAAAAACAATGGAATCATTATTGTAATCCATTGTTTAAAAAGGTACAAGGGTATCACATGATAATAATTATATATTGATATTAACTGATTTTATATTTATATAGACCCATATTAAGCAATAATTTTATATAAAATCTTATAATACTTATGTTAAGTAACAGATACTGTTATTTTCCAGTCTATCTGTTCCTATTTTTAAAAGTAATACTTAATTACTCACTTTTCTTAGAATTGCTTTTGTTTCTCAAATTGCAATAATCTTTATGTCTCTGTTAAATTATCCATGTCAGCAAGTCATTACATTATTATTGATCATAACATTGTTATTTAGAGATGAGTAATCTACAAGAATTGTTAATTATTTGTTTAGTTTCAATGAGAACAAATAACTGAAATTTTAAATCTTTTATTATAGAGTTAAGTATTATATAGCCCCAAAGGTTTTTTTTTATATATTATAAAAAAATAAACAGTATAAAGAATCTGTACACCATAGAAAACAATGTTTCAAATAAAAGATGTAGCTGAGATAATTTTAAACAAAAATGTTTATAAGCATTTTTTTGTGTAGAATAAACTTCTCCTAGAAACTCTTAGAAATAACGCTTGAAGCGACAGTCGATTTTGCATGTCAGTTACGCGCGCGAAATCAATGTTTAATCAAATTTGTATCAGCTCGACGGTAAAAATTCGATATATTTTAATCCAAATGTCCTATTGACAAAAATCAAGTTGCGTTTTAAAGGGAAAAAGTGCAGCTTTTGTATGCAGTTTTTGTATTTTGCCGAGAATAAACTTAGTTTTTATAAAGGTCTTAAATAAATTAACATAGCGCGATTTTTGCCATTTTTTTCGATTCTCGTGAGATCAATATCACTTCCATTGATCAGTTGTAGTAAAATTTCCATTTTTAGAAATCAACCTTTAAATCCTATGACATGAAATTTCAATTTTGAGTTG